AGCATCACATAAATGTAAAATAAAAATATTGTGTCCACCTAAAAAAAACCTTAAGAATAAATATTTTAAAAAAAGAAAGAAACCACAATGAGATACCACTAGAATGGCTGTAACAAGACATAAAAGCTAAGGATATGGAGAAATTGGAGCCCTCAAACATTGTTAGTGAAAATGTAAAATAAGACTGGGGCTGTGGCTCAGTGGTAGAGCGCTTGCCTAGCATGTGTGAGGCCCTGGGTTCGGTCCTCAGCACCACATATGAACAAACAAAGTGAAAAATCCACTGGCAACAAAAAAAATTTAAAAAAAAAAAAGAAAATGTAAAATAGTGTGGCTGCGGTGGAAAAATGGCAGTTCCTCAAAAGTTAAAATGGAATTACCATATAACCCAGTAATTCTACCCATGGACATACATTCAAGAGAGCTGAAAAACATTCACACAAAAAATGTTAATGTTCCCAGCCATGTTATGCAGAACAGCTAAAAAGTGGAAACCCAAATGTTAATCAATGGATAAACAAAGGGTGGTATATAAAAACACGCTACAGCAAAATACAAAAGGACACATATCATATCATGCCATATAAAAATATCCAGAATAGGCAAATCCACACAGTAAGAAAGTAGACTAGTGGCTGGAGACAGGGAGGATTGGGGAGTTACTGCTAATGATACAGGTAACTCTGGTGAGCAACTAGAATGTTCTAAAATTGTAGTGCCAAGTGAAAGTCATAAAAACCACTGAACTGTACACTTTAAAATGGTGAGGCAAGGTGCAGTGCCACACATTTGTAATCCCAGCTACTTGGGAAGCTGAGGCAGGAGGATGAAAGTTCACGGCATTCAGGCAGCTTAGCAAGACCGAAAATAAGAAATAAAAGGGGCACCTCTGGGTTCAATCCCCAGTACTGCAAAATAAATAAATAAAATGTTGACTTTTATCATATGTAACTGGTATAAATGAAAATCTGTTTTTTTAACAATACCACATGGTTTCTGGCTATCCTTTTCATTAAAAGGGCAAAAGAAAATCCTATTGGGCTTCTGTCCTCTATTTCATTTCTGAAAGTTGAGGTCATCAACCTCTGCTTTTCTATCCCATATTTTGGTAAAAAGCCCCCAAATTTTTCTTTGAAATTCTTTCTACACAGCCCTGGACATACTATAGAGAAGTGTCCCAAGCAGGCAGCTGAAACAGGGCTCTCAGTCTAAACAATACTCATCTCAAGAAGCTCCTCATCTGTACTGACCTAGTATTTGCACTTCAAAATGACACACAGTAAGCAACTCAGAAGCCTAAAGTAGAAAGATCACAAATTTAAGGCCAGCCCTCAGGAGCTTAAAGAGACCGGATCAATCTGGAGTACCAAAAGAAAACAACAAACCAAAAAAAATTATACACAGTTGCTGAACATAGAGGCATGCACTTGTAGTCTCAGCTATTCAGGAGGCTGAGGCAGGAGGCTCTCTGGAGCCCAGATATTGGGAGAGCAGTCTAGACAATACAGACGAGTCTCAAAAACAAAGAACACCCCACAGGTAATTTTACAAGGGCAAATGAATAAACTGTACAATTTTATTTCATATATTTACGTATTCGTTTGTTTTGTGCCGCAGGGATGGAATCCAGGGCCTCCACACAATGTAAACAAGTACTCTGCTACTCAGTTACATCCCCAACCTGGCTTAGATATTTTTTCTATCTACATATATTTCCAGTTTTTTGAACTAGGAAATCAACTCTTCAGAAAAACACACGACTCTGCCCTAAGACTGACCCAGTGCCCTACATACTATTATTAGTGGTGTCCCATGTGGTCCTTTGTTTCATGATACCCTGCCACAAGCGTGGGACTCACATGCCAGTTCTATGACTTACTAGTTTTGTGACTTGAGGGAAGTCACCTAAACTGAGTGCCTCTGTTTACTCATTCCCAAAATAAGGCTAACAGCGACCTGACCTTTGGTGCTTGGAGAAAGTAAAACGGCTGGGCATCTGGCACACTCTTTGTGTGCTGTCTGGTGTCGCGGCTTTTTCTTCCCACTTGCACTAACTGACCAAGCCCTTCTCGTCGGCTTCCTCGTCTATAAAGACTACATCAAAAGACAGAGTAAAATCAAAGATTGCAACTCTGGGCCTACAGCAAGCGCTCAAACAAAAAAAGTTCTCTTCTTTCCCGACCCGTTTCCAGGGCGGTTTTTCCAGCATCGCCCTCCAGTCCCTTGGCGGCTGGACCGAGATGCCACCGACAGCGCGGAACCGCTCGCTGACACTTCGGCCGCGGCCCACGAGCGG